TCGGACAGTGAATGGCATTGTCTACGAAAATTCAACGGGGCGGCTGCGGCGCTGGGGCTTTTATTGAATGACAACCACTTTATTGCTACGATGGAAGAATGTTCACAAACACAAGGTGGATATCAATTGCGCTCGATGTTTGCACTCATCCTCAAATTTGGCCCAGCAAGCAATCCGAGGCGACTTTGGGACATGTTCTCGGGTCCGATGTGCGACAACTGCGGCTATGCTCTGAAACAAGTTATTCCCGACGTGGAACCAACACCGGACATGATCCTGGAACTCGGTATATGGCGGTTGGAGCGAGCTTTAGAGGAGGTTGGACTAGACTTGACAGTTTTGGCTTTAGCAAAACCGAGTCTGAGTTGCCTTGATGGTTATGGAATGCTTTTAGATTGCGATGAGGAAGACTTTTCCACGCAAGCGAGTTGTGATTTCGTGATGGAGAAACTTGAAATAATGAACGACGAACAATTGGCCATTTTTGAGGAGATGAGATCGAAGATCAAAGCGGAAGTGGGTGGCATGTTGTTCCTCAACGGCCCTGGCGGTACAGGCAAAACGTTCACATTAAATACAATACTTCATTATTGCAACGCGATGAAGGTTTCGTTTCTGTCCGTCGCATCATCGGGAATAGCTGCGCTGTTGTTGTACAAAGGAATCACGGCGCATTCAGGTTTCAAGATTCCGTTGAACGCAAACGACACGTCAACATGTAACTTTTCGGGGCGGGATGCGGTTTCAAGAAGACTGAAAGACTGCAAGGTTATTGTCTGGGATGAGATATCTATGCAGAACAAGGCAGACATTCACTGTGTCGATCGTTCGCTAAGAGATCTCAGAGAAGTGGATGAACCCTTTAAGGGAGCCATTGTTCTTTTTTCGGGAGATTTTCGGCAGACTTTACCCGTTATTCCACAATCTACGGTGCCTCAGCAGGCGACGGCGTCTCTCAGGCGGTCCTATTTATGGCCATTGATTGAGCAGTTTGCTCTCATTACAAATGTCAGGCTCTTGGGACACGAATGTCGTAATGCGTCTTTGCGAAGAAAAAATCTTGACTACGCAGATTGGCTGCTGGAATTGGGGTCGGGTCAGTTGCAGGAATCAACGGAGGCGATGATCAAGTTGGAACATACCACCGACTAAGTTATTCGACAAGAGGACTGCAACACAATTGTACTCAAAAGCCAATGCATTGATTGCGCAAAGGAACTGGAACGACTTGGCTACGTACTACGGCGAAAGATGTATTGTGACACCACTCAATCGGTCTGTGGTATCAATAAACGAGGAAATGCTGGAGATCCTCCATGGTGATACATTTACCTCGAGTTCAATTGACACAAACGATGACTCTACAACGTGTGAATCACTGACACCAGAGATCTTGAATTCTTTCTCAGTGCCGAATTTCCCGGTTCACGACCTGCGCCTCAAAGCGGGAATGCCAATAATTTTGTTAAGAAATTTGAATCTCAAACAAGGCCTATGTAACGGGACACGGTTGTTGATCACACACGTGGCGAGAACATATTTGACGTGCAAAATTATAACTGGCGCTAGACGAGGTCGCAATGTGGCTATACCCCGAATCAACCTCAATCACAGTGGCAATGCAATGGTTCCATTGCCGTTTTACCGATTTCAATATCCAGTAGCTCCAGCGTTTTGCATGACAGTCAATAAATCCCAGGGACAGAGTCTTGAAAATGTGGTGGTATTCTTGCCGAGCCCTGTTTTTTCACATGGACAGTTGTACGTCGCGCTGTCGAGGTGCACGAGCGTCAACAATATCAAGGTTTGTATGTCGGTGCTTGACAAGAGTGCTGAGACAATGAACATTGTTTTTAAAGGCATACTGCGGGATTGATAGTCAATGCTATTTGTAATGTCTTGACTATGTTATTTGCTCACAGAAGCGTAGACAGAACATCACCACATCTGTGGGTTTTTTAAATGGATCACTTTGTTACGCGCATCACATTGGTCTCTTTTGAACCGTTTCATTGTATTGTACGATAGCTGTACATCGTGTATATGATTTCCTCAACATTTCACGCTTCTGTTATCGAGCGTCACATTCATTTGTTTCCTATATTCCTCAATCATAACGCTCCTTTGTTTTACCACCCTTTTTCATCGCTTGCGATCGCAGAGACGTCTGATTTTTAAACGGCTAAAACGTACAATTGCCAATCGTTGAAATTCAAAAGCCTGCCTGATTTAAGATCCCAAAACTATGGTGCGCGCCTCCAGACTCTCTCCTTCTTTCTTATGTTGGGATGATTTTCAAATCAAGGATGAAAAGTGTTGAATTTAAATCACAGAGATTCTCATTTTTGGCTATCAAGGTATATATTCTCTCCTGTGCATGACCGTATGAATCTCTTTGGGCTTTATGTACGGATGAAGTTACTGATGAAAGCAAATGAATTGCAGGAACTGATAATCGAAAATCCCAAATCTCTATCAACGTCAAGTTATCTCTCAGGAATTGCTCATTGGAATAGATTTGTTGAAACTGAGTGATGATTTATACCTCTCTCATTTCTCAATCTTCTTCTGATTGACAATGTTTCCAGCCGATGTGTTCAATATAGGTGGAAAAAACCTTTTCGAAAAAGTCACTGAAATGGCATTTTAAGGGCAAGTTAACTTTGTGCGATTAGATCCTTCCACTCTGCCTCTGATCAAAAATTTTGCGAACGGGATTAAACATACAATCAACCAGATACGGTCCCGTTTTCAATTGTTGCCTTTGGTCTATCTCGATAAAATTTATTTTCACTTCCAATTTCATAATCAAATCGATTTATTAGGTTGTTCCATGGTGACGTAACCAAACATGATGATGATTACAGTTTGTACAGTTAGAGATGAGATGACGGAAAAGGAAAAAAAACAAGATATGGCAAAGCTTTTACAATGGGAGTGTTATTATATCGCAGTTATTGAGACTGTGAACAAGTAGAGTAGCGCAGTGTATGACAGTCTCAGGTATATGTTGTGGAGTTTGCATCAAGTTGTGGCAAAAATTTCCCCAAGCAGCGTATATTGCGAGACCTAGGACAAGGTGTCAGTATTCGGTCGTCTGCCGGAATTGAAAAAACGTACCATGACGGCGAATTCCAAGGTATCACGGTCTTTACTTATGATGTTTCCATGCACCCAAATAGCAGATCCGGCGGTGATGTGAGGCCAAAATTGGCCAAGTGGAGTCGCATGCCCGAAACGATATAAAACGTTGAACGTGAGACGCCTTTGGACCTAATGGGTTGGTCAGATGACTGAAGAGTACAGAATGGAGATAAACACAAACTATAACATCGTAGTATTCGTGACTAGCCGTGAGGACCATATCCCAATCGGGGCCGTTGATTGGACCGTCTTCAAGGTAAAAAGAGATCACTCTGGCGACCCCAGTAATCGTGGCTCGACCAGCGAGTTCGCAATCGGGGAAGTTAATACCGGTGACGTCAGCGTGGTTGAGTGGGGTATGTTTGATAGAAGCTCGGCCGGTGACGCTGTCCTGACCAAAGGGACCAGTGATTGAATAAGTGTGGTGGTGTTGAAGAGTGTTCTCAGCAGGACCGAATCCGTGAGTGAAGAGTAATTCCGGAACAGCGTGGCCCTCGAGGTCGACGACAGTCATCGAGGCAGTGTTTTCAACGAACGAAATTTGCCCACTGTTCATAGCAACAGGCTGGCACAAGAATGTGAGTCACTGGACAGCGTTGATGTGCGAAATGACTAACCGGTGAGGTTACGTTGACAATGGCGTTGATGACGGCGATGTAAGTCATGTGGCAAGAAGTGATTGCGTATTAAAAGTTGGGATGGAGGGCCTTGAGAGACATGGTTTGAAGTTGCGTAGTACAACATCCTTTATAACGTCAAATGAGTGATGTCTTGGATGAGGCGTCAAGTCCTGAGGCAAGACTGGATCGCTGTGGTGGTCAATTTGGACGGATGCGAGGGAGGCATTGGAAGTTCAACCAGAATGGACAACATAGTATGCCGACATTAGGACTCAGGCGGATAACGCGGGGCTTCTTTGACGCGTGCTGCGGCGGTCCCGATACAAGTGAGACGGTGCCGAGTCAGGGTTTTCCGAAACAAAAACGTGAGGGCGGCTGGCCGCCCCCGAGACTCTAGTAAGGGTAAACATAAGATGTTTGGTTCATGGTGATACACACTAAATATTTACCATTCAAGCAACAGAAAATAGATCATGAATAAGACACTTTATAAAGTAACCAAGGCTTTAAGAAGAAAGGATACCTCACAAAAGTTGTTCTTTTTCATGCTATAATCAAAATGCTCGCGTTTTTGATCACTTGGATGTGGGTACTTGTTTCCGATTGGTTTGCATCCAGACCACCCATGGCTAATGATCTGAAGACAATTGAAAAACATACCATAGATTCCAATTGATCAGCTCTAGGTTCAGATTTTAAATCAAGACATCATTTCTAAATCATGAAATCACTCAAGCTCAACCTCCTCATCATTTCTCAATCACGCAAACATTTCAATTTGTACCTCCACTTATGCCATCGATTTCATGCACAAAAGAGAAAAAAGAAAAAAATACACATATCTATATGATTTTGTAATCAAAGAAAAACTTGTTGAAAGTGATTCTTACATACTTCAGGAAACAAAAAAAAACACCTAGCTGAGCCATCCATACAAAGATATAGATATCTAAAGCCATCCATACAAAGATATAGATCTATAAAGCCATCCATACAAAGATATATAAATCCAGAACCTTATTTCCTATTTCCTTCTTTATCAACTAAACGCTTGATAAGATTCTGAACAAAATCATGAAACCAAACAATAAGAAAAAGAAAAAAAGAAAAAGATAAGAAAGAAATAATTTCCTCTTATCATCCAATCATCTAATCTTCTCTATTCTTTAATCCTTCAACATTCACACCAGGTAATCCAAACCTACGACTAAAAACACCTACCTCCTTCTTAAGTTGTTCTAAATCTTTTCTACCTTCACCTTCACCTTCACTAGCAACTTTTAAGAAATCTTTCAATAATTTAGATCCGCATTCTTTTTGTAATTTTAATGAAATCTTAATCACTCGATCCATAAAGTTGGCTACTTCTTTCATCTCTTCTGTTCCCATTGATCTAGAGGTTAAAGCAGAGGTTCCTAATCTAACTCCTCCTGGTACTTGTGCTGATGTATCACCTGATACTGCATTCTTATTAATCGTAATATGACCTAGGTAAAAAGGAACCATATTAGTTATCTTTCTTTGAATTCAAAAGAAAACAAAACTTACACAAATCACAAATCTTTTCAACTTTACTACCAGTCAAACCAATCGGTCTCAAATCCCAAAGAACCAAATGATTATCAGTTCCACCGGTTTGAAGTTCATAACCCAATTCGATCAATCTAGCCCCAAGTGCTCTAGCATTCTCCACCACGGCTTTAGCATAAGATTGAAATTCCGGATCAATGACTTGTTTCAATGCCACTGCAATTCCTGCAATCGTATTATTATGTGGTCCTCCTTGACAAGCTGGAAAGACTGCATTATTGATCTTGGCTTCAATACTCGAATCGGAATCTTTTTTAAAAAAGATCATTCCTGCTCTAGGACCTCGTAAAGTTTTGTGAGTCGTCGTCGTTACTATATCACAGTATTCAAATGGATTGTTTTGAGCTTGACCGGCGACCAAACCTGAGATATGTGCCATCTTAAAATCACAATCAAGTCAATTCGAATCAGTAATTATGACCGACTTGAATTTAAAAAAAGAATTTGAAAAACGAGAAATTTACTTACATCCATCATCAAATAAGCACCTTGATCAGCCGCAATCTTTTTCAATCTAGCATAATCCCAATCACGTGGATAAGCCGAAGCACCACAAATCAAAATCTTAGGTTTATAAACCTTAGCAGTGTTTTCTAAATAATCATAATCAATCAATTTACTAGTAGGATCGATATTGTAAGGAAACGATTGAAAATATATTGATGAAGCTGAGATCTTTCGTTTGGCAGTATAAAACCCATGAGTGAGATGACCTCCATCTGGTAAACCTAAACCCATGATCCGATCTTGTGGTTCGATCAAAGCTGTAAACACTGCAAAACTAATATAACAAGCAAAAATAAATAAATCAATGTCTTTTCATCAAGGTAATGATTCAATGAAGGATTTACTTTGCAGTACTACCTGAGTAAGGTTGAACATTTACACCCCACACTTTAGGATCTAATCTGAAGGCTTCTAAAGCTCTGTTTTGACATAAGATTTCTAATTGATCTATAAATTCATTTCCACCATAATATCTTGCGTTTGGTAAACCTTCTGAATATTTATTAGTTAAGATCGATCCATTGGCTTCCATGACTGCTAAAGAAGTTAAACTAGTAGCAAGACAAAAAAAGAAATTAGAAGAGTTTGATCGATCGATCGAGGTTCATCTTTTGAAAAGAACTTACTTTTCTGATGCTATGAGTTCTAATCCAGAGTATTGTCTATAAGTCTCATCTTCAATAATTCTTTGTACTTCAGGCTATTGAATCAAAGAAGAAGACCGATCAGATATCAAAAAAGCTTAGGGAAAGAAAAAGAATGAAAAGAAGAACTGACATCATAAGTAGCTAAAGGAGTATAAAGAGATTTATTAAAAGATTGAGTAGGTAAGATTTGAGAAGCAGACATTTTGAATTGAGTAGTAGTGGTAAATGATTTTGATAGTTGAGTGAATCTGATAGGATTGAAAGGAATTCTAAGTTTTAAGAGAATGTTATTGGTTAAACTCATTTGGTGGGTGGAAGACTGACTGGAATTTCGACTTTGAGACGATTTCCCGATTTAAAAGAAAAAAAAAACTCAATGAAATGTCTTAGAACCATTCACAGCCTTAACATGCAATCAAACACTGATCGTGACAGTCTTAGATCACTTAATCAAATCCGATCAAAAGCTTTGCTCAAACAAGGAACAAGGGAATTGGTTGATCAGTATACCACAAAAGCTTTCAGTTTGCTGCTTTGTTCCAAACAAGAACAACAATCACTTCGCATCATACATCGACACAAACAAGCCAAAAACCAAAACCAACAAACCAAATGAGTTCCATCTTAAACCAACAACAACATACATAAACTCCGAACAATCTACCACCTCCAAAAAGCCACGTATCAATTATGGTTCCAATCCTTACTCCTCCAAGATACATATTTGCATTCAAAATCAATCGTGCAAAGGAAATCAGGTACAGATCTTATAAACGTTTATTGTCTGGGACCTATCTTTGAGTTTAGATCTCCAAGTTGCCGAACATTGCGCAAAGCTCAACGACTGGACACGGTATGAACAAGCGTACTTTTGGCGGAACCATTGGCCAAGGGGCTAGATTTGGAGGACAAGTATCTATGTCCATAGCTGGTCATTGGGTGTGCTCCAGAAGTTGGCCCTGGCATCTGCCACAGTGATTGAGCTCACTCCGGCGGCTCCACCTCAACAATGAAAACCAAGTAAAAATGCTGCTCCAGAACCTACTCCGCGAGTGAGGATATCAACACCAAGTAGTTTATTTGACCCAGAGAGCTATGGAATGGTATTCCTGTGTATTGGAGAATGTGTACTACGGAATGAGGCATTTTGAAACCACAAGGAATGATAAGTTTTTGATCTTGGTGGATCATTGAAGTTTAGCTGATACCTTAAACTCAACAACCTTTGTGATCCCAAACTATCAGGAAGACACATTCCATACATTGTAGGTATCAATAAGCTTAACAAATCAACTGTTCCAATCTGAGGTATCTTTGTTGGAAGTGCTTCTTTTAAATCTTCACAGGATACACTCAGTTTCAGAGCAAACACTATTTACCAGCTACATAGAACAGGAAGACATCCAAAATTAGAAACCCAGTCACACTGAACCAAGCACCTCGCTGAAACCACAAAGAATTGGTGGGATCAGGTTCACTGAAGTTGTCCGGGAAAACAGAGCTAAGGGAAATGATGTGATAAAAATGACCAAGGGTATCAGGTGAAAGCACATCCTGCAAAGGAATTACTACCATCACTAGCTATCAAGAGCAGGATTAAACATAGTTGTGCAAGATGCAACAGGATCTTAATGGCACAATAAAAGTTGAATATCATGAGATTTGAAGAGTAGATCCTTTCTGATCAGACATCAAAGATAATATCATCATACCTGGGGTATCAAGTAAAGGCACAGTTGGTCAAAGATCAAGGCTAAGCTTACAGTCATTGTCATAGAAAGAGGAGAACTATATAATCAACTTGAGACGTAGACCCAATCCTAATGTGAGACTCTGGTTACAGTTGGCTAAAGTTCTCATTGAGTTAATGACAAATGTAATAAGATTATGTTATCAGATATATTATCAACTGATTGAGATGGTATACAAAGTCAACTATCAAATTAACAAGATCTTCAGGAGATGAGTAGAGCCTGAGGCTTGACTTGATGGAAATCAGGAAAGTTTATTGTCATATAAATAGAGGTGTCAAGTCAGACCACAGCTTGGAAGGGAGTAGATCCCACAGTTGAACTTGTGGTATGACAATGTTGATGCTGTGTTCTTTCACCTCCTTCCTTTCTTGTTTTTTTCTTTTTGATGTTTCTCTTCCTTGCTTTGTATTCTTATTCTTCACTTGCCTATTTGTGGTCTAGACCTCTATGAAGCATGTTGTACAACAAGACAACTACGGATTTCAATTCACTCAAACCAGAAATCATCAAGTCTCAAAACAAACTAACCAAAGGGGTTCCAAACAATTGAGAGGGAAATCAGATACATAACACACAATCACATAAGGATTTGATGGATTGTTTACAAAAAAAAATCCATGTATAGTTTTTTTTCTTAACCACAGAAATGATGATTATAAGTACCACCTTGAGCTGAATTTCTTATAGCACCAAAATCTTCGGAATTTTGAAAAGCTTGAGTGTTTGGACAATTTCCATTTGCACAATAAACTTCTTGACCATCTGGACCTGTAAGTCTAGTAGGAATATTAATTTGACCACCAACATATGAAACTAAATTTATTTTTAAGATCATCAGATCAGATTATATAAAGACAAACACTCAAATCTATCAAAATCATGGACTTACGATCCCAGTAAATTCTACCATCAGTTCCTATACCGTATTCAGAAAGAAGAGCACGTGAAGTGATCCCAGCGTCGGTACAGACTAAACCACCATTACAAGCACCAGTCTGACAATTGGCACCAGAGCTGATAAAGCAATAATCAGTCACTCAGAGTGATAATAATGTACTCATCAAAAATCTATCGCAATTAGAACTCACCCATCACAACCAGTTCTTCCCCAAGCACGAATACCTAACTGATTATCTGCTACACCAAAATCGGCACTCTGACCTGAGCTGAGTTGTTGACCAAATGAAACAGATGTATCTGGTTGTCCGTTAGGAGCCTTGCCTACAGCGGCCCAAACCGTATAAGAGCAACTATTCTGAAAGTGAATAGTATAAGCCGAGATAGTAGCTGCCAAGTAGGCAAAAGTGACAAGGTGTAAGATCGAAGAGGCAACAGTCATCATCATTTTTTGTATAATGTTTGGAATATATTCTGAACGGATGATGGTTATGGCACTTGAGCGTGTTGGGATGGACGTGTTTTATATCCAAAATGATATCCATGCCCCTTAGGAATGAATATCCGGGGTACAGACTGATCGATCTGCACTCCGATGGCATCCTCTCCACAGCACACAGCACGCAGCACGCTCAAGACTTTAAACGACGCATCGGAATTTCACCCCTCTGGCTCTATAGTATCACCCTTAATAAAATCTTCTGAGTGATCATTTGTTTTACTCACAGCGATGGATAATTCTCAAATGCATTTTCTCTGATGTCATCATTTTCTTTTGTCACGATCTTGTCATACATTTCCATGAAATGAAATCGTCTATATCCATATATATTAAGTCATAAGAAGTCATCATTGATCATTATGAGTTTCGAACTCAATCAATTATTTTCACTGTTTTGGAATGAGTTTATCATTTCATTCAGAGATTGATCTGTGCTTTCTTGTCTTGTGATTCGACCTAGTCAAAGCATTGAAAATTCTCATCATCCTTCTTCTTGCACGTTCATTGTGAGCTGTGAGCTGTGTCGAACATTCCGCAATGTGAGCCTAGGCGATTGGTTCGAGTTAATTATTTTATGCAAATGAAGTTTGTAATCTTGATTGCTTCTGCTAACTTCGATTTTGCTATCAGACAAGAAGAGCTGTTTTGGAGTCTTACAAGTTGTGGTCTTGAAAAAGTAAGAATTGATGGCTATATAAACGAGATGCAAAGTCGTCATTTCGATTTCCTAAAACCAAGAGATTTCCTTCTGAATTACTCCAATTACCTTTATCACCATCATAAAATTTTATCATATTATCTTTGTCTGAACCCCTCGAGATGATATCATCACGTATCTTCACTTTATTAGCCGCGATATTTTTTACCACTGTTTCTGCGAGCACTCATGGGATCACTGTGAGTATGACCTCTAGATAATCATCAGCAGATATGTGTGCTCAGAAATGTCTCTTATGCATCAGCTCGTCAACAATTGTGGCAGTGCTACCACCATGCAACTTCCCGGACGTGGCAACTATGGCGCGGGTACCTTTTCTTTTGATGGCGATGTCAGAGGCGGGATCGCTCAAGCCTGTGGTGATATCAATGGAGTAGGATGTAATTCAATCGAGTTTACTTTAGTAGATGATGTGACTTCTGCGGATATCACTCTCATTTCTCCTCACCAGTTCGATCATCCTGCAAGATTCACCATCACTGGTCCTTCCGGCAGTCAGAGTGCTTCTTGTCAGAGCTCAGACTGTGGTCCAAACAACGCTTTCTATAAGTCTGATGATTACACTGCTCAACGTCAAGTTACTGGTGCAGGTTCTAGCATTTCCATGCAATTCTGTTAGATCCTTTGATGTCCTTACAGTTTAACCTTTTTTTGGGTACGTCCTCTCATTGCATATTTGGCTGATAGAATAACCGATTATAGTATCACTGACTCGACTTCATCAATCTGTACTTCTTACATTCCAATTTCTTCACAATTATCAAACGTCATAAAACCAAAAAATTCAAAAACTTATTTCCATTCTGCTCATCTTTTTTTCCATCAGTTCAACTAAAGAAAGATGTATGAGTTTTTGATTTCAAACTTCATACATACATTTCTCTTTCCCTCTCCAAATTTTTATGTTTATTCAATCCTTCACATTTCACAACTCAATCTGTTTTTTATCTTTGTCTAAATGACTATATCTCTTTTTAAAGAATTCCACTTCATCATCATCAGGTTCACAACACCATGTATGTATCTTCAAGATAATTTAGATTCAAGAGATAAAAAAAGTGTTAATGAAGGCAAGACAACTTATCCATATATTGAAAATAAAGTTTCCTTTAAGCTTAATGCAGTAGAGTAAACTTATCTCAAGCACGCTCGTGCAGGGATGTCTGTGTTGCTCACAATATGTATCATTCCATAAAGAAAAACATACCAAAAGGGTGTAAACTTCACAAAAATGTAAACAGAGAAAAATTGAGAAAAACTACTTAAAGGGACTTTGGATATCTGGAGCCACACAGGCAAACCAAACTGTTTGGGTTTTAAGCCCCTCTTTCAAGGGAGCAGACGAGGCCGTGCAAAGGGCTTTGTTAAGCTAGTGATTAGTGATATGTACCTACTGCTTATAGAATATGTCTTCCTGGAATCCTGGATCACATTCCATAATTCATATAATTGATTTCAAGCACATCTCATCAATGATGACTAAACATTCTTCAAAGTAACATTATTCAAGCACCTCTAAGTCTGGCCCACGAAACAAAATCATTTCTATTTACTAAACAATTCAAAACAAGATCTTTCTTATCAAAACCAAATCTCATCATCATTAAACCATCAATTCTCACCTATGTATATACAAAATATTCAACTTCAAACCAATTCACATTCAGAATCAAATCAATCACCTTCAAGGCTCAATTCATTCTAATCAAAAATATTGATTTTCTTCGTGATATGATCGGATATATGGTAAACTTTTCAAACCATAACTCATCACTGATATATCTACGAATATTAAATGATAGTATATTTTAAATTAAACGATAGTATAAGACCCAACCAAAAATTCTAAACCTTCTTCATCTCAAGAACGTAAGAAAAACCCACAATCACAACCAAATCTAATTGTCCAAACCTCCCAATCCATACTCAAAGAAAGAAACCGAATAAATGAGAAAACGAAAATAGGCAAATGTATACTATACTTTCTAAGTAATGTGTTTTTTTTTCATTCATTCTTTCTTGATGTGTATGTGTGTAAGAGAATTAAATTAAAAATTTAAAAGACAAAAAGTAAAACCCAAACAAAATGTTAATGAATTGTCCATTGATTTTCTTTTCAAAAAAATCGTTTCTTCTTTTTGGTTCTTAGATGAAATTCGATTGAGTATGATGACGAATCATCATTTCTAAAGAAGAACTTGGACAACCATTATCAGCCGGTACAAGATGACCACAACCCTAAAGAAATCACACAATTCCAATCAAAACCCCCAAAGGATCAACAATCCGATTCGATTGATCGAAATAAAAAAAAACACCCAAAAGAAAATGACACTTACTAAAAGGATCACTCTACTGAGGTTCTCAAATTGAGTGGCATACCCAAACAATTCACCTGTTTGAGATTTCCATAACTAGAAACAAAAATTCATTTTCAAATTAGTCTCACCAGAGAAAAATAAAAAAAAGAAGAAGAAATCGATTTTCTCACTTTTCTTGGAGCCGTTTCAAACCCATCACGTCCATCCCAATCTAAAGAAGAAAGCCTATGACCCCCACCGAAAAAATCAAGCGTATAAGTATACAAAGAAAAATGATTTTCAAGAATCAATCTTACCAAGCTGTATTAGAAGCTACTCCATCTCTAAGATCCATATTTCCTTGATACATTAAAACTTTATAAGTTTTGAAAAGTTGGGGAAACAAATCTTTAGTTGACTAAAGAAACCAAAAAGAAAATGAATTCAGAATAAGTAAAAATCATGTTGAAACAACCCCCCCCCCCAAGAAAAAGATGAATGGATGTTTTGGAGGGGTAGACATCAAGGAAAGGCTTACCTGCATAATATCATCTTGAAAGATTTCAAACATTCCATCATCTTGTCCGAATCGATATTTAGTAGGAACATGTAAAATCCTTTTCGTTTCATTACAACGTAGAAAATGATTCCTAATCCAAAAATAAAACCAAAAAATCAGTTTCAACCCCCCAAACCTCATCAAAAGACCTCACGTGTTTTTTTTTGTTTGGAAATTAGATGGGATTTACATTGGTTTTTGATCAAATTGAACATTTTTCATCCTAACATCATACCAATTCACTCCACCCGTATAATTAGACAAAAGATCAAACATATCTAATCGATGACTTAAAGCTGAGGTCCAATTCTTTTTTAAAATCTCAGATCGAGATTCGTTTAATAAGATTGAAGCATTTTTAGCTTGTTGTGTTGATATCAAACCGAACCAGACCACTACGATTAATAAGAGAGAAAACCGATTAGGATCATTTAGGTTTCTTCTTGGGATTAGGAGTAGAAGGAAATGTGACTCACGTTGGTCTATGTTGGTAGCTACTTGGGTATAAGGATCCGTCCTAAAACCAATCCAAATGTTCAATACACAAGAAGTACAACAAAATAAAAATCAAAAAAACTTACCATTGATTACCGATTGTTAAAGATTTCAAAGGTATACAATCATTTGGAAACTTTTGATTATGTTCTGTGATAGCAGTAGCAATTGTAGGAACATATTTACCTCCATACGATTCACTTGAGATCGTTAAGTTCACTTTTTTCATAGAAGGATATCTTTGATAAAATTCATCTAAGAAACTTAAAAAATCTTTGGCTATCTGGAATTTTGGAATCACAAATATAAAAATCGATTAGTTTTCTTTTTGGTCATCTTTTTTTTTGAGATAGAAAAATAAAATAGGTGGGATTTCACTTACCGCTTTTTGGTTTTTCACATATCCATGTTGGTAATCAGGATCTTCTGACGTATTATTAGAAGAAGAAACTGAACAATTCGAAGGATCTGTACATCCATCCAAAGACCTTTTCAGAAGAGTTGGTAAGGACTGTTTCCCACCAGTATCATTGACCAAGATCGGTGGATCAACAAAAGAAAACCCAGTGCCCTTCAAAAAAAAACCAAAAAGTTTCAGCTTCAGTAAGGTTTGGGCTTTAAATATAGTACTTGAAGTTTTAACTTACCACTGGTTGATCTAAGAAAACCATATTGAAATGTTGATTCCAAGTAGATGGATTGGTAGAAAGAATGAAATCATCAATCGTTTCGTTTTGAGTAGATGGACTTAGTTTAACACCAGGTTTGGTTTGGATTCTAAGTGGTCCAGATTCAAGAAACAGACCACTCATAGATGAACTAAATGGTCCACCTTGAAGCCAACTACATATGATCAAAACAAAAAGTATCGTCACGTCAATTTAAGCAGCCCTTCAGTTCACATTTTCGAAACAAAACAAAACAAGGTTTGAAACAAACATGATCAATGGTGCTTGAGGATTAGTAGTACATGGAAAAAACCAATAAAACAGTTTAGCTTGATACGCCAAAGTTTGTCGTACGGTGATCAGACCAGCATAAGATAAACTGATAGGAGTCGAATTTGAAGCCCATGGGAATCCACTAGAATCGACTAAATGAGATTCAGAGCCAGTCGAATTCGTTAAAACTTCTATTGATGATTCACATAAGATCCATCTTGTGAAAAGTAAGAAACTTGAGATTGATAAAAGTAATCGTCGATGGTTGACCAAATGGGATTTCATTCTTCTCCTTTTAGATAATCAATGAATGATCCAAATCAAAAGGTTTGTGTTCGTCAGACGTTATTTGATGGTTGTAGTAATTTGGGATGTTTTAGTTAAAACGAAAGGATTGAAAGAACAAGTCGATAGTTCTGAGGAATTGAGGATCAATGAATCGAGGTTATCTAAAAAAAGAGATCGAAGGTTGTAAGCGAGTTGAAGATAAGTAGAATGTATTGAATAAACCTACGCGCTTACCAACATGAGCAAGGAGAACCCTTGAAAGGAATTGGAATTGAAGATGGTGAGTGATAGTGATGAGAGTCAAGGGAATGAGTTCTTGAGACAGGAAGATTATAAAGAAGAGGTTCTACTCCTAGTTTGTTTTTCCAACGACCCTCTTCTTTAAATTCATTCTTGAAGATTCTCATCCAAACCTGGAAAGATATGTAGAAGATAGGAAATGCAAAGTTGAAGTTGATTGTCAGTTTGGTGTGATTTGATTTGGGAGTGTTTGAGAAGAGATCAGATGGTGGCTTGAGTTCTTGCGACAAACCACTTCATCCATCCCGCTCACGTCTTTCTTCTACACTCAAAGCCAAAGCCCTCCTTGAAGACCGTAGCTCAGGCTCTAGGTTTCGGTGATCTAGAACTGAATTACTTGAAGTTTAGTTTGGTTTACGTGACGACCTCTTCCGTTGACTTCACAATCCATTTTGGCGCTTCAGTAAGCACGCCAGAGTACCCCATACTAAAACCGTGTGCTAGAAGTCAGGACATAGAAATTAATGCTATGTGGTCAATTCTTGCCTTTAAAGAATTCTTTCTTTCTAAAGAAACTCTTGTGCAAAACCCATGATAGCATGATGTTGACTTATACACAACCAACTCAATCAAGCAGGTGAGGAGGGACCATCAAGATTCCATTAAATCCTCAGCACTCATTTTTTATAAATCAGTAGCTTGTTTAAAATTCGAACTTGAAGGTGTCCCAAATAGCTCTTCCAATCAAATTGGCAATTTAAAACCCAGCTATCAGAAACTCAACAGGTCTTGAAGCAGATATTTACCAAAAAAAAGAAATCTATAAGTCATCTTTCTGGCTTTGAGCTTTGCTTCATTTTCTTTAATGATTGCAACCTTCACATCTCAACTTTTTTCAAGTTTACCATTTGTTTCAATAATTATCCTATATACTCTAATAACAAAAAAACAGAAAATCAACTTGAAAGTTTTGTTTCACTTTATTCTATTTGATCATACGACTTACACATACATCAAAATAATGTCTCATAATCACCATAATCTACATTTAATGAACAAAAGTAAGATTAAAAAGAGTTTTCTAAAATCCATTCAAAAAACCAAAACCAATGTCCTACCTACAAACCAAATTCAATATACAACAATATATTTCAAACCTACAATCTAAAGATCAACCAAAAAAAAAAAGGAAAACCTTTCCAAACCCTTGAATCCATCACTCAAATCCCACCAAACATCCCAAAAAGAAACCCCAACCCCAAGCCAATTTTTTCAACTTTCTCTTAGTTGAGTATATCAATCTTCAATCTCATCCTCATCCTCAAACCAAAACCTTTTAACACCCCCTCCATCCGCCCCACCACTCTGAACCAACCCCATCCCGATCTTCCTTTTCTCCCACCCCATCTCTTCTTCTGTCTCTTCTTGATTTTCATTTTCATCATCATCAGACAACAAATCATAAACTTGATTCGAACAAGTTTTAAAAGTCGTTAATTTTTCAATAATCGGATACCTTCGAACTACAAAACCCAATTTTTTGACATCCATCAGTTTCTATACCAAAAAAAAATGGAGGTACCAAAAAAAGTGAGTTGGTTACTTGTATTTGAATCAGGTTTGGATTTGTTGATTAGTCCAATGTATGGTCCATACTCAGTTGCCAAAACATCTTTCGAAACATTCAACACTGTCCAAACCCAAACCCAACCGCCCAAAAACACCTTTCTCATCAGTCTCTCTAATTCTCCATCCAAGTTTCGCTGAAAAAAAAACCAAAAGACGTACAAGAAAAACACCCAAGATCCTCATCAAGTTCTACCCTACCTAACCCCTCACTTTCAACCAATCCATTTCGATTTCCTTCAGATTGATTTCTTAAACTGATTTCAAAATCTTTAAACGATTCTAATTGTTTTGAATTCTCATTTAACTTTCTAACTTGATCCCATTCTTCTGATTTCTTAAACCTAGATTGTTCTTTCCCTTGTTTACGTTTCACAGGTGTTGGTAATCCAATCAAAATCCCTCGGATCGTTATATGAAATTGATAGAATAAACTAATCGGTTTTTGGTTCCACTGTAAACACACACACACACAAGAAAAGAAAAAACGTTTCAAAAAACTTTAGATCTTCAATGATTTCCCTAAAATACCCACTTCTGTTTTGATTTTATAGTGAATGTTTTTCAAAAACTTACATTATCAAAACTTAAATTAATTTCTGAATTTGAAAAACTCATATATTCCATCAAGACTTCTACTTCTTCGATCTCATTAACGAATCCTAAATAATTTTGAAACAAATAACCCATAAAATAATCAAGACTCATTCCATTTTCTGAATACAAAGCCTACCCAAAACCCCCCCACAAAGAAAAAACACCAATCCGAATTTCATTATTTCAATCAATCAATCCAAATCCAAAGATAGTATATAAGAATCATCTAAACTACTGACTTCAATATCCGTCTTTAATTGTCGTCTTGAAAACTCGTGTAAAAAATCCGGTACATCTTCCGGTTTAGTAGGTCTGAATCGTTTATCCTTTAAATCTTCTACTGGATCATCTCCCCATCCTAAAGAAAAAAAATTGATAAAAAGAAACCTATCTTAAAAAATGATGAACAAATTTTCCAAAGAAGTTATGAACACCCATACGTTTGTTATACAAAACTTTTCCTAATCCATGAAAAAGAACAAGTGACGATTCACGTGAACCTAAAAGACTAAACCCTCATCCCAACAAAAAAACACATCAGTCACATTACACTTTTGAATAATAGAAAAAAAGGAATCGGATTACCTTTCTACTTTCTTTCCACGATTCTTTAAACCATCATCTTGATCCAGAACTTTGAACTTACTACTACTACTCCCATACGGTTTCCCCAGACCAGGAAGTTGGACCATGAATTGAAGATTATTAAATGCCGATCGAATATCACCATTAGAGATCCCAATGATCTCATCCAATTCTTTCAGCCCAAGTTTCTTTCGTTTCGGAATCCCTACAACCCCTTCTTCTTCTATTTCCAAAACCCGATTTAACATTTTCTTCATCATCGTCTTGTTGACTGAATTCAATTTAATAAAACTACATGATGGATGTTCTAAGATATCTTGTGAAATCAAACTTCTTACACTCATTCCTTTTTCTTCTGAATTAAATCTTCCTCCTCTTTGACCAAATTGAGCTTGATTAGATAACACATTATCGGCTCCTTCTTCACCTGGCCTTACAGTCGTATCCGAGATAATCACCACCAAAGGTGGAGTTGATGATCTCGTACTATTCAAATGAAGCTTAAGCGCTTCACAAAAAGCTGAAAGAGTTTGATCGTGATGTAAATTCGGTAATTCGTCTACCAAGAGTAACTTGCGTGTTGGTGTGCTTTGAGAGGAGATTGATGATTGTGAAGCTTTGAGATTGTTACTAGACTCGAGAGGTGTAGGGTTTTGAGTAGTGTCTTGAGGATCGTCAAATAAAAGGGTTGGTCCATAACTCGCTCTCATTAGCCAAATTGGAAACTCAGATAACCTTGAGAAATTCAAAGCTAATGAATCCAATCCCACCAATTCTCAATCAGTACCATCCCAATCTTAAATCCAAGAAATTATCGAAATTGTTTTAAAAGCATGATTTCTTACAAGTTGGATCACCACCACCCTCTTGCCATTCCAAGATTTGATATCCGATGGGTTGAATCTCAACATCAGTCTTAGCTTTAGATTTTCCATTCCGATTGAGTGTAGGTGTTGGTTTTCGATCTGATTGAAGTTCAGAGGGTTGTGCAGCAAGAGATCTGATAATAGCACTTTTTCCAGACCCTGCTGGACCACCTAAGATGAGTAACCTTCGATACTTTCGAATCGAAGTTGAACCGGTGAGTGCTTCTTTTAACCAACCTTGAATGAGTTCTGTTTTTTTAGGATGGATAGCTAGTTCTGATGGTTTCTTTGGTGTATATTTTTCAGACCATAGAGATGTTTCAGGTTCTGTGAAACGAATTGACACATGATTTGATCAGTTTGATTGGAATTTCTTCACAGTTTTATTAAGATTGATGAAACTGTTTACCTATAGTAGTAGTAATAGGTTGTTTTGATGATTTGGTTGTTGATATGGTTTTTGAAGATGAAGCAGTGAAATGAGATGTTTTGATGTGATTAGAAGTTGATCTAGAATTGGATGTTTTAAATGAATCTGAAACTGGTTTGAAAGGTCTCTTGTCATCTTCATCATCAGATAAAAGGTCAATGTGATCATGATGAGTTGATGATTGAGTGGGTTTAGCAGTAGAAGTAGTCGATTGAATTGAAAAAGCTTGAAAGAAATCATGTTGAGAAAGTGGTTTTTGACGTTTAGATTGTCTTTCTTGAGTCTGATCAACTTTGGTTTTTCTTTTGGTTGATGATGATGATGAAGATGGCATTAGATTGAATGTTGAGTTGGTGAATTGTTGATTTGCTGAGTTTAGATTTCAGTCTGATTACCATTGCCATGTCCATGTCCATTACCATTACCATTACACCCAAAATATTAAATACTTAAAACCAATAGTAATACTTCCAAATTCAAAATTCTCAACTTCCTTCAACTTCACTTCCACTTGCAAGTTGCAACCTCATTGACATTCGAATCAGATTCACTTTCATCAATTCTTGACTTTTTACAAACTCATCATGAAGGCTATCATTCTAGTAGGCGGTTTTGGTACAAGACTAAGACCATTAACTTTAACTTTACCTAAACCTTTAGTAGAGTTTTGTAATAAACCCATGATCGTTCATCAAATCGAAGCTTTAGTGGCAGTTAAGTTTTTAACTTTCAACTTCTGAATCTCATCAACTTTTTAATTGACTTTTTTTGGTTTTCTTTTTCTGGTACATAGGCTGGTGTAAAGGAAATCGTATTGGCTGTTAATTATAGACCTGAAGTGATGGTAGCTGTTTTAAAAGATACTGAAGAGAAGTATGGAATCAGGATCACTTTTAGTGTAGAAACTGAACCACTTGATACCGGTCAGCTAATCCCCTTGATAAATCATCCCAAACAAAAAAACCCAACAAACTTACATGCCCCTTTTTTCTTTTCTTATGATATATGATAGCTGGACCACTTGCTTTAGCAAGAGAGATCCTAGGAAAAGATGATTCACCATTCTTTGTACTAAACTCAGATGTAACATGCACATATCCATTAAAACAATTAGCCGATTTCCATCAAGCCCACGGTAAAGAAGGAACAATCATGGTGACCAAAGTAGATGAACCCTCGAAATATGGAGTAGTAGTTCAAATCCCCAATAGTTCAGCCATCGATCGGTTTGTCGAAAAACCTCAAAGCTTTGTAGGAAACCGAATCAATGCAGGTATTTATATCTTTAATCCAAAAGTCTTAAATCGAATTCAACTCCAACCTACTTCGATTGAAAAAGAAACCTTTCCTGCAATGGTTCGAGATTCAGAGTTACATTGTATGGATTTAAATGGGTTTTGGATGGATATCGGTCAACCTAAAGATTTCATCACTGGTACTTGTCTTTATCTTAGTTATTTAACTTCTATTGATGATGAACAAGTTCAAGATCATCATCAGAAGAAATGGATCAGCGGTGGGAATGTGTTAGTTGATCCAACGGCTATTATCGATCCGACGGCTATCATCGGTCCTAATGTGGTCATTGGGCCAAGGTGTGTGATTGGAAAAGGGGTTAGACTTCAACGATGTGTGATCATGGAAGGTGCAAGAGTTAAAGATCATTCTTGGGTTAAAAGTTCAATGTAAGTTTTGATCTTGATTAAAGACTGTTTGGTAAATCTTCTTACTTATCTTTGCGGTTTCCTTTTTTTATAGTATTGGTTGGAATTCAACTGTTGGTAGATGGGTTCGTTGTGATAATACGACCGTCTTAGGTGAAGATGTGAATATCAAAGACGAATTACTCGTGAATGGAGCATCAGGTAAGATTCATCATCAAACACAGATCTTCAATCTTCCTTCATTTTTTCATTTACTTACCAATTTTCTTTGGTATAGTTTTACCTCACAAATCTATCTCAGCTTCAATCACCGAACCAGCCATTGTGATGTAAATCCAAAACCATTCAAAGAAATTCAATAAACACCATATCATTGTAAATCTTGCGGACACACTTCTTACCACTTCAAAACTGGATAAAGACATTTCTTTTTTTTTGGGATTTCATGATGGACAACCTTTTATGTTTGTTTCAGTCTGTTTTAAAAGACTAAATCAATCACGATTCATTTCTTTCAGGTATCTGATCAATTCAGATCCTGTTACTTGAAATCTTTCATATGCTCTTATATATATAAGTATTCTTGAAAACCTCGTTGGAATTGCTTTTTTTGGATTATACGATTTTTCAAATAAATAGATTTCATATCCCCCAAAAAAGGTTATTTGGAAGAAAAGGTTTTTTTTTCTTTTGGATGGATGAGTTTGGTTTTTAAAATCGAAAAAATCGTGGTTCAAGTTGAAGAACCTTTTAAATTTCCATTTTTCTTCTTTTTTTCTACTTTTTTTTTGATTTTTTGATTAGATTTTGGTTTTTGTTGATTTTTTTTTGGCAATGTGACGCAAAGTTTGAAATTGATGAAATTGATGAAGTTGATGAAATTAAGTTTCATATAAAAAGTAACTGACCTTTACAGTCTGAAGTTTGATTGATCATTTTTATAAAAAACAGAGTTTCAATGAGGAATTTCTTTTTAAATAAGTTTAGAAAATTCAGCTTTAACATTTTTACTAAAGAATTGTATGTGTGCTATATGAAATGGACCAGTTTTTTGATGTTTTTAATTTAATTTGAAACATTCCTCAAAACATGATCTATTCAACTCAGTGATCAAGATGTATCAATGGAAAAATTGGATCCTTAACATGTCAAAACAAGAAATCATATCAAAAGAAACAAACAAGGACACCAAAGAAACCTGTAGTCAGATCTTACTATGGATTGATCATCTAAACTCATCTTAATGTGACCAACTATGTAAGAAGATAAAACAAGATGTGAAAGGGATATAAGTAAAATGAGATGCCACTGATGGCTATGAAACATACTTTTCTGTTGATCAAAACAAAACCTATTTGATTTAGGTACAATGAGAAAATTGACTTGGTGATCTTGTTGATTCACAACTTTTGAATTTCTGGTAGAATTTCATCATCATCACAATTTAGTTCATGTGAGACATAAATATCATTTCGATAAAGATTTTAAAGGAAACCTACAACAAAAAGAAAAAAAAGCAAAAAAAATTCATATTGAGAGCAAGAATTGAATTAAAAAAATCCAACTTTTTTTCTGTTTCGCTACTAATGAAGTTCACCACGAGCTTGAGATTTAGCCACAAGACTTAAAACTTTACATTGATCAGCTACATCTTTCAAAACACTCAAGACTCTTAAATTGCCTGTACCAAACTCAAAACTATCATACTTTAATCCTTCATACTCACACCAAGGTTTCACATACTCTTCTGTAACTTTTCTCAGGTTATGACGTGGTAATCTTGGAAACAAATGATGGGTCACTTGTCTTTGTAATCCTCCGTGTAAGAAATCTAGGTAGGATGGACAACTAACGTCCATGGTCGTTCGGATTTGTCGGTGTGCGAAAGATTCATTCAGGCCTAGGTCTTCGGTCGATTGGGCAAAGTGTGAAAGAACGATCTGTGATGAACACCAAAAGAGAAAAGGAAAGGTCAGTTGACTGAATCAGGCTGAGTAAGAGGTTTCACACAACATACTTGAACATGTAATGGGCTCGTGACTGCAAAGCTAACTAGGATATACATGAGCCTAACCGGGTAGGTCGGCAGAAGATAGATAAGAGTACCAAAACACGTCCAAAACCCCATGATGGCAAAGACTACAGAAGGAAACAGACAATGATTAATGAAGATCACAAGGTGATAAACAAAAAAAGGAGGAAAAAAGGAAATCCTCACTTTCTAAAGACCTAAATTGGTTTTGTTTTTTAGAATTAGCTAAAAAACAATACGAATTAAAAAACAAATTAAACCTTCCAAACATCATCACTATATAATAAAGTTTATGTTGATGTTGAACCATTTTGGAAGCAAATCCATCGAATTTCAAACTTCGCTTATAATAAGTTGATTTTAATGAATTAAAGAATTTAGAAGAGATTGCAAAGAATGGTAAATGTTGAATGTCTGGATCGTGTTCTGGATGATTGGTGACTAGATGATGAATATCATGATTCTAGGATCACAGGTAGAAGAAAAGGTCAGTTTGATCTGATTAGGCCATCTAGATAAGGAGATTATAGATCAGATTCGTCTCACATCACACCACCATCCAAGGCTGATCCCATTAAAGAAAACTCCAAAGAGAATTCCTAAGAATCGATCTGTTTTCCAATCACCTGTGATATCAGAGTGACCAGCATCATGAGCCACAAATGTAGTTTGATGCCACCAAAGTCCCAAAAAGATTGAAGAGATCAGATGCTGAAGTATAGATGGGTTTTTCGGTTCGTCTGGTAGGGTGCCCATGAATGATGAAATGCTAGAATTTAGGAGAGGGTAAAATGGGCTCGTGATGAAGAAGATTGCGAAAAGAATCGTGAATCGTAAAAGATCAGGACCATAGCCATAACAGAATCGAGGAGGATTATAAAGACCAGCTGAGCGAATTTGTTGATGTAGACGGCGGTAGGAGCGTGATAGGTGTTGTTGACGGATTGGTGACACATCATACTTGCTTCCAATAAGATTTTCCTGATCATTATGAAAGGTCGGTTCCAGAGCTTGTAGCTTTTCTGACATGGTCAATTCCAATCTTTCACTGGGAATTGTGCTTGTGTCGTGTTGGGTTCGTGATTGGCTTGATGTGGGACTCGGTTTAGATTTAACGCGCCTCCGAATTGACTCTTTTGGTGAGCTCATCTCAACGGATGAAGTGTCTTTGGTATCATGACTCGAGTCTGCATCCGCCGTAGCATATCCAGAATCGAGATCATGACCATCAATACTAGAATCGGAACGGGCGATCGGTCTAGATCGAGTTACAGGCATAGGCCATAATCCAACTTGGATCGGAGGATTCAACGGTTTCCATCCTTGACCGTCCTCTGTGTCATTCCAATCCTGGAGTGAAACTTTTCCAATAATGAAAGATTTCATTTGATCGAGAACTTTGTCTGGATGATAAGCTTCAATTTCATCAGTCGCATCACGTCCTACAAAATGCAAAATTGCCATGTCACCACCAGGGTGTTTTTTGAGCCATGAGTTTAGCTTATAGACATAAGATTTATGAAGCACACTAAAAACCACCGATCAGGATACATTGGACATTCGATCAGTTTGTGTTTGAATCTCAAGCTTTTAATTGAAATCAGAGTGGATAGAAAGATCGATGATTAAGTTATGATGACGAACAGCACATCTCCATTTGCTATACGAGCTTTAATTTGATCTCGAGTCAAGGTCAGGAGTCCTAGTTTCTGATTTGATTGACTAGTATTTTGAGACTTGTAGTCATCCGAAGAATTGAGGTTGGTTTGAGGGATTCCTGATTCCATTCGATGAGATTCCTTTTTAACAATGCTGATGATTTATTATTATTGAACTTCTATAATGATATGGCGATATGATGAGAATGATAAAGTGATAAGTTGACTATAAATTTTTAAATCTTTTCACCATGTATGCACTACAACTTCACCATTTGAGGGGGAAGCTGTTCTTTCGGCTTAACTCGGTTTCCCATCAAGCTCAAACTTGATACCGTGAGCGAAACTTTGTCGCAGCAACGTAGCGTGAAGCGCCATCATGACGTCGCAACAACGCCTCACACCCCGTCACTGCTAATGCCCTTGGCCCGAGTTAGGTAAAAGTGATTCGGTTCATCTTACCCGACGGGTTTCTCTCGTACTCGCTTTTTGCATGACCAGCTCTTGCGAGTTTCTTTCTCAAACTCACTTCAACAATCTCGCTTTAATCTTCTCTCAACGCGTTTTACCGAATACATACTTTGCTTCTTGTTCCCTCAAACAAAACTTCGTTGTGCATCTGAATCGATCGGTGTAGCATTCGATGCTGGTTTCCGATCTGCCTTCCATGCTCACTATCTCGATGCTAATTTATCGAGAGCCTTGCAAAAAGGTTTTATCGACCCAGGGCAGTGAAGTCGAGTCAGCTTTAGTCAGTTGCTCCGAGATCAAGAGAAACGAAGAGTTTTCGAAAGCAAGCCCATTTCTGGATGGAAAGCCTTAAAAGGCAAGCCCGAAGGGTATTTTGACGATTATAGCAATCACCAGAAACAATAAAAGGTAACGCAGCCTACATCGCCGTGAGGAGTTTTTGAGAGTATGATGACCGATTCAATCCAAGTAATGCTCTCAAGTTATCATGGAATTTTCAACATGAGCTAAGCTGGTGTTACACTGGATAATTTTCCTAAAACCATCAATGAGTCCACTTGACTCTGGCTTCAAAATTATACGCCATGTTTTATGCGCTATCCTTATCCGGTGATCTACACTCTTCAGCAGCGGGGAGATGAAGAAATTCTCTGCCGAGCATGATTCGGCTGAAGAGGAGGAATCTCACTGAGCTTTACAAAAACTGCTGCCTTTTGGAGAGGCCGATAAAGGAAAGACTTGAGGTTGAATGGAAAACCAATCGCGCCGAGATGTCGAAAATATCAAGATGCGTAAATATGAATTCTTGACGGAAATGGGAGCCAAAAGGCTTATTGTTGTAGATGCAAACCTCAAGCTTGAGGACAAAGAGAAGCCGGGTTTAAGCCTTCACCTTCAATCATTCCAGAATTTCTGTTACTTCCAACTACAACCTCACTGGTGTTCAACCTTCAACCCTTCAATTTCTCATATCGTCATCTTGTTTCATCGTTCAGATGCCTCCCAAAAAACCCTCACAGAAAAAGGCACCTGTTGCGCCTGTAGCACATCCCATCCGACATACACGAGTGACCCGTGCTTCTCAAGCGGCTTCTCGGGCTGCTTCTCAGGTTGCTTCACAAACTGACAACAGCCAGCAAGCTGAACCGAGTTTACCTCCACCTCCAGGTCAACGAGCTCCTCGTGCTCGTCAGGCGGCTTCCCGGTCGGCTTCCCAGGTCCTTTCACAAACCAACGACAGCCAGCAAGCTGAACTAAGTCCACCACCGGCTGGCCAACGAGCTCCCCGTGCTTTCCAGACTAATTCTCAGGTCTTTTTATCAACTACCAACAGCCAGAGAACTGGGCAAAGCCCTCCATCACCCTCAGGCCAAGGAGTTCCCCGTGTTTTCTGGGATACCTTTCCGGCTCCATACCATGTTCCTTCACAAACTACCGACAGTCAGCCAACTGGACCAAGTCCACCGCCGCCACCAGGTCGAGGAGTTCCCGATGGTCTCCAGACTAATTCCCAGGTTGTTTCACAAACTAGCAACACCCAAAAGACTGGAACAAGCGCACCACCACCACCAGGCCAACGGGTTCCCCGTGTTTTTCAAGCTGGTTCTCAGCTTCTTTCACAAACTTCCAATAGCCAACAAACTGAACTAAGTCCCCCACCACCAGGCCAAGCTTTTATCAAACCCCAATTAAGAGGACTAACAAAGTCAGGTCAGAAGCGTTCACCTGATGACGAACCTTCAGAATCTAGCGGCTCAAATACGGCTAGGAAAAGGTCGAAGATCGATCCGGCCTCATCCCAGATCCCAATTCGAAAACCAAGAGGAAGACCTAGGAAGGTTCCGAAAGATTCTCAAATCAGCCCTCCCTCGCAAGACTCCGCTAGAATTATTACTGATAGGAAGGGTAAGGGAAAAGCAAAGCAGGCGCTTTCAAGTTCATCAAGTGACTTGCGAAACTCTGGTAGAATGCCTACCAACAGAAAAGGAAAGGGGAAAGCAAAGCAACCTCTTCGAAGTTCCTCAAGTCTGGAACAAAGAATGAGTCCGGTGCAGAATCGTGCTTCGAATAGGTCACCGGATGAGATGCCCGATTTAAGATCCGATGAAAATGCTTCTACTGCCGATGTATCCCTTCGAGCTGCTCTCAAGGCGGATGAATATCGGGAACACTTCGTAAGCTCCATGGTCCTAAACCTGCTCACCAATCATATTCCTCTCTTTTCATCCTCGTTATGTTCACTGATTGGTATGAATGGCTTAGGAAATCTTTAATCAAGTCCGAAGCCACTTGTCCCAGCTCCTTCCCGACGAGGCTCAAGAGGCACTTCAAATCGTCATGGACCCCGAACACGCACTCTTTATCCCTGAGGATCATGAACTTGATGAATACGTGAAGTGCTGGAGAAAGCGCATAGAAAAGATTGATCGAGCGCACAAGACAGTCAGACGGGCGCACAGAGTGATGCTTTGGAGCTCAGTTGTAGAAGTGATCACAGATGTAGAGGAGTGGCTAGAGTCCTGGAAGCCTGATCGTTCTCCTCCCCAAAACCAATATGCTGGCAGGGTGGAACTTCCAGATCAATGGCTGATGTGGAAAGTTGAGGCTCTTGTGTGGATGGGAGATGTACACAATGCGAGAGGGTTATATCCGTGAGTGTATTTGAATCGAGAATCATCCTTTCGAAATCATCAAGCTGCGATACTTTCTCTAACTTGTCATCTATTTCATAGTCTCCTAACTCCCGATTCGGACTCGATTGATCGACGCGATCGGTATCGAGTGGAAGGTCTGATCGAATTTTCCGATCGAGATTACTCAGAAGCCATCGAATATCTGAGCCTCGCGGTGGACGGTTCCGGTGATTACTTCGGGCAGCAAAGCGACCGACTCGAAGAAGAGCTGTGGTACGGCATATCTTCCTCGTCTGTAATGCAATCACAAACGATCTAATACTTCTGATTTGCATCATGTTGTCAACGTTGCTTCAGGAAATTGATAACTCGCGCCTATGAACTTCGAGACTTCGAAGAGAAGCTTGAACTTCATCTCTCCGAAATCGATACAGAAGATGAACCCACACATTTAGGTTTGGCACTCAAAATGATACGTGACATGACAGATCAACCCATGAGACTTATCGAGTTACCCATGCGGCTTTGGTTACGTGAGACTTTGTGTAAGCTGTATTGCCATGTGGGTCATGTTTTCCTAGAATATCTCTTGGATTTTATCTGTCGGCTCTCGATTGTAGCTGAACCATTTCTCATCTTTTCTGTGAAACAGAGCATTCGCGCACAAACAGCCTCCGATGTGGCTCAAGACATGGTTTGTATACGCAAAGAAGTTCAAGAGATAAACAGGATGACCGGATTCAGATTTCATTCACGAAACCAAGTTTCTGAAGCGTACAAGCAACGCGTAATAGCCGCATACCTTTATCTTGCTCGCTCAGAGGAAACGCATTCAAAATTGCACATAGCCCGCCACAATTATAAAGTTGTTGAAAAATTACATCGAGAAGGATGGGGAGCGAAGGGATTGATTAATTATGATCATCTGAGTGAAGAGATACAAGCTGGATGTGCGTTACGAGACCCCGATAGTCGTCAATTATCACCTGTATCACCTGATTCACCTGATTCACCATTGCACGCAAGTCATCCTCCGACTCCAAATTTCTCCCGGTTGTCCACTCGAATTGAAGGTGATCGACTTCCGACATTTTACGATTACAAGCGGTATTATGCTGTACGCACTTTTCCAGCTCCTCTTTGCGTATCGTATAAAGAAGTTTAAATCTTACACTTACATGATCAATCTGATTCTAGACACTCGGACTTGGTCCTCATGTCGATTACTGGGAGTTGAGAACCCGATATGACAAATTGGGCGCACGATCATGTCATTCAGATTACTTTCATATAAGGGTATGTGATCTTTTTCGTCATGAATTTAGTATACAAATCCTCATCGTTTGTTTGTTTTTTGTCTAGCTTGAAGAAGCTTTCAATGTTTTATCTGATCCTTCCAAGCGACAGGAATACGATCAAAAGTGTGAGACTGAGCTCCCTCCGTCCAGACTAGGGATCTAGTGGATGGTCTACTCCTTACTTTTGGAATCCTCGTACAATTTTTTTCTGGTGTAAACGAAGTGGATCATCGTCTTGGACAGGATGCATCATTTGGCTATGGTTTTAGTACCGTTTAGAGACATGGCATAGCAATATGGGTTCTGTGTACAATTTCTTTCCTGTATTTTCTTTTTTGTCAGTCCAAACCACATAGACGCATCAACCTCATATATTGTTGGTAAATAAGTATGTATTGTATGCGAGGATCTGTCTACATATCATTATAAGCTTTGAATTCATTTATCATTAATTATTATTGACAGTTGAACATAAGATCAAATGATGACACAGATCTAAGTGCAAATGGCATTTATTTGCCAACAAATCAAAATCTAATTCGCGAGTGAAAATGTCATACAGACCTTTCAGTGGGAAAAGCTGGATGTGCGAAGAAGAAGGATAAAGTGAAACAAAACACTCTGAGAAGTCTGTCATCACTCTTCAAGTGCACTTTTCAATTCTCTTGGATGGCCGTCTTTTTTCAAAAGTGTCCCTTTTGATCGTCTAATGTTGATCTTGTTTGTTTGCATATTTGGAATTACACCTTAGCTATCAAGAAAGCCACACGGTGCAGCTTCCTTGAGTTGGCTGAGTTGATTCGACAGCGGGGAAGGTGTCTCGAAGAATGGCACTCGGTAGCGCAAAACAAAAGATCATTTTCCATATGGAAGAACAAAAGCTTCGGTCTAGATGTGAGAGCCGGTTAAGGAAAAAATCTCGCCAGGCGTCAGAAGACTTCTTGGGTTGACTTGAAATCATCAAGTTCCAATTGTTTGAATGTAATGACGGAAATGGGAAACAAAAGGCCCCAAAACAGACCTTGAAAGCCTTGAACTTCACCTACCATGGTTATCGTTTTACTTGAAATGTCCTCAGCCCCTATATATCTCATCAAGCTACAACCTCATTACTTCCATCTTTCGATTCCTCATTCAAATTCATTTTTGTACATTGATCAAAATGCCTCCCAAAAAATCTTCAAAGAAAACTGAGGCTTCAGCACATCCATTCCGACATACACGAGTTACCCGTGCTTCCCAGGCTCTTTCACAAGCTAACAACACCCAACCGACACAATCAGATACCCCACCGTCACCACAACCTAAAGCTATTGTTGGATTAAGACCAAAGCGAGGTCAAAAGCGCTCATTTCTTGACCAGGATGAATTCTCAGAAGCTAGTGGTTCGATTACGGGTAGGAAAAGGTCAAAGGTTAATCCGGCCTTATCCCAAATCCCAAGTCAAAAACCAAGAGGAAGACCTAAGAGGGCCCTCACGCTTTCTCAATTCAGTCCTCCCTTACAAAGCTCTAGTAGGATTCCTATTGATAAGAAGGGTAAGGGAAAATCAAAGCAAGCTCTTTCAAGGTATTCGAGTGAGGATCTTAACCCGGCGCCGAATAGATCACCGGACATACAAATCAATGTGATCCCTGATCTATCATCCGACGAATATCCTGCTCGGCTTGACGCAATTTCTAAATCTAGTAAGAAAGCTCATGAACCCCTTGAATCTGAGGTGGGCTTTTTTACTCTAATCTGATCTCACGATTTCATTACTTTTGATTCGATTCTCGTTAGCTTAACTGATGTTATTTTTATCTTTCTAGGATGTATTGCATGCAGTCCGAATGAGAATATCATTACTCCAACCTACAGAAGCTCGAAAGGAGATCTTTGAACTTACCAAAAATTCAGATGCTAAACTTCATCGGCTTCATGATGAACTCGAGACTTTAACTACATGTATCAACGAAATCAAACGAGCCATAAGTACTATCAAATCAGCACAGAAAGAGCTTGCTTGGACCACAGTTTTAGAAGTGATTGAAACTATGGAAAACATGTTGTCCAATGGAACTCATCTTCAATCACCGGCCACTAATACAACTGATCAAGAGGTTCAGCTTCCAGTGGAATGGCGTTTGTGGAAATCTGAAGCTTTGGTTTACTTGGGTGAAGTACAAACTGCCAAGGAAATCTTTCCGTGAGTTGATTTTGAGCCTCTGAGGTAGATAAATTTACATATTCCAATAATCAATCATTGAATCTTCTCTTGGATTTACATCTTTCATAGTCGTCAAGCTGAATCAATTGATAAGTATTATCGCTACCGAGTCAAAGGACTGATTGAGTTTGCTGAACACTCTTACCAAGAAGCCCTGATCTCTTTTGACCAAGCGGCAAACCGACTAAGTCTCTCTCACTCAAAGGAGATGGACAGACGCGATGGAGAGGTGTTGTAAGTGATCCTCAACCTGCGCTGAATCTTAAGATGAGGAAAGAACTAATAGAGTTCAAATGTGAATCGGTCTCTGGAATTTATTTTCTTTTTACTTAGATATCTCATGGAGCGCGCAAAAGAACTTCAACGTAGGAAAAATAAGCTTTTGACTGTCCTTCGCAAACGATCTGAGCCAAAAGAAACTTATAAGGCTCTAAAATGGATACCTAGGATTATGGCTGACTCGGATGAGTCCCTTGAAAGTCCATTTCGATTGATATTACGTGAAATTCAATGCGATTTGTCTGTGAGGATTTGTTTCATTTTTTATTTTATTTACTTTTTGATCAGTTTTGACTTTCAACTTTCTGCTCACTTTGATACACTCAATTCTTTTTCGATGTTTATTAGACCTTACATGAAACATTTGAAGATGATGGTCTATCTGATCTCAGAGCTTACATTCAAGAACAAAAAATCGAAATGGGCGGGTTCAGATTTGATCGAAGAAACAATCTTCCAATCTCTCATCGATCACACATCTTATCCATATACTTTTATCTTGCACGTGCTGAATCTTATGGTGATGATTTTATCATGAGTAAACATCATTTTGATATGCTTGATAGATTAGAAAAAGAAGGATGGGGACCTTTAGGAATTATGGGAGCTGATAGATTTGATCCAAAAATAAATGATCCGGGTAAGTTTGAAAGCCTTAAAAAGAAAGTATATAGACCAGAATCACTTACTTTTTTGTCAAATACACAAACACCATTCATAGATCCTGCAAGTCGACTTCCTACTCCAGAACTCCAGGAGACTTCCTTTGAATCTGAGGGCCCACCACCTGCCCAAAAAATAAAGACATTCAAAGATTATAAGGGCTACTATGCGGTTAGTATCTCTTTGGTTTCATGTCATCAAAATAGGTGATTGAACTGGGGCACTGATATCATGATTCTGATCACAGACTTTAAACCTTACATCAGGGGCAGAATACGATGAGATCAAGAGATCTTATAAAAAACTTTCGAAATCGGAATCGTCTAACGCAAAGGTATGTATCCTCTAACTTTTCATAAATTTTCAAGATCATTACTTATCATCCATCACTCTATTCAAACAGCTTCAAAAAGCATACAATGTACTTTCAGATCCTGTCAGACGAGCTCAATATGATGAAAAGTGTTGGAATTCCAACTAGACAAACTCATTTAGCAAAACTTGCATGTGACCTGGTAAAATGGGATTGAGATTTTAGTAATCACAGAGATTGAAGAGTTTTCTTGAATTACGCAATTTATGTGAAGATTCATATTTTTTGAACTGTTTTATCATCTTGTTTTTAAAATCATTCTCTTTATATATTATTGAATCTCAGATATTTTTAGTATTTCTAAGGTCACAAAAAGCAAAGGAATGAGTGTAAATTATTTTCAATTGAAGTCAAATTTGTATTCCTATCAATTCCAAATGTTGTTGTTTATATCTATCCCACTCCACTGGTCTTGAGCAAGAAGAGGAGGTATAGAGGTGAACAGTGACGGTGTGCAAATACGACTTTCAAAGAATAGTCCTTTCTCTCTAGCAATTAACATCAAGCGAGATCTTAGTACAATCATCTTCTCGAACACCATGTCCACTTCACACCACAACCTTCACTTCCACTTCAACAACTCAAACACAGCTCACAAAAGAACAGATGAGTCTAAAATCTCATTCATTTTCAAAACTCAAGATCAACTTATATGCATTCCTTTCAATTGTCAATCATGGAATCAAATGAAACACTGACACTTGCCTCAAATATACACCTGAGTAGATGATATCACAGACATTGTTTACTACTCCATGTTGAATTTCATACGGAGCTTGAATAAATGTGAATCGTCCAACATGTCTCAGTGGCTCAATTCTGGCCAAGAAGTCAAATGACAATCATCCTGAAGCTCCAGTCTCAGAAGTGTTTTTACAAGTTGGTGATTGAAAGCCAACTCACTCTTTTCCTTGAGCACACACAAAAAAGGAATGATGAAAGATATAGTGATGAAGTGATTGTCTTACAAAATCAAGTACACACTTCACTTATGAACCTTATCACTCTTTATAGCTCAATAAACTCAAACCTAAACACTCAAAGTGAAATTCAAAAAACAAATTAATTCTCAAGTTCTCGCTGTGAATCTCATTACCGCTCGATATAATCTTTTTATCATTGAAAAAAGCAACACACATCACAATTCACATTTTAAATTTCTTCATCTTATAGACTTCGTCGTACAAAGATATCTGCTCTCAAAAAACCCTAAACATAACATACACCACACACACAATAACCCATTTCCTATCTATCAATCTCAAAACAATTTCAAACAACATCAAAAGAAACAAAAAAAACCCATCTCTAATTTTCCATAATAAAAGAAAAGAAAAGCCAAACTAAATTTGATAAAATTAAACTGATCTATTGATTTGAATTTTTTAATTTCCATTCATTCCAACCAGTTTCACCTAAAACAGCTCTACCTAAAGCCTGTTTGACATCTTTAATCAAATCACGACAATCTTCAATCCCAACACTAAGTCTAATCAAACCATCATCAATACCTAATCTTTGACGATGTTCAATCGGAATACCAGCATGAGTCATCTTAGCCGGTACTTCTACCAAAGATTCTACTCCTCCTAAACTTTCGGCTAAAGTAAACAAATCACAATTTTTCAAAAAGATTTCTGATCGATCTGATGCCATGGAAAAACTAATCATGCCTCCATATGGAAATCCTTGTTGGATAGAATATCCTTCTTTGACGAAGCTTTCTTGGGTTTGGGTTGGTAATTGATTCCAAGCTAATGTAGAACTTGTACCTAAACCAGGATAAGAGAGTTTAGAAATCCAACCTAATTTCTCTAATGCTACAGTCTTTAACCATTTCGATAACTTTAGTGCATTTTCACCATGTCTTAACATTCTGATTTCTAAGGTTTTTAAACCTCTTTGAGCTAACCAACAATCGAATGGGGAAGGAACAGCACCATGAGCGTTTTGTAAGAATCGAAGTTGATTGATTAATTTTCGATTAGATCCAATGATGATACCTAATAAAACGTCTGAATGACCATTTAAATATTTAGTAGCTGAATGAATCACTAAATCTGATCCTAATAAAATCGGTTGTTGATAAATCGGACTTAAGAAAGTATTATCGACAACTAAGATTATGTTATTTTGTTTAGCTAGTTTAGAAATCGATTGGATAGGTGATAATCTTAGAGTCGGATTACTTGGACTTTCGATCCAAATCAGTTTGGTGCTTCCATCTTTTCGTATGGTTTTTTGGATTTGTTGACAAACTGATTCGATGGAATGAAGTTCATGAGTCGAAGATAAATCTAAAAAACTAGTTTCTACATTGAATTGAGTGGCTACTTTAGTTAAATAACGATGAGTACCACCATAGACATCAGACATCGCGATCACATGACCTCCACTCGGTACTAATCCTTGAATCACAGTAGCTGTAGCAGCTGAACCAGAAGAAGTAGCTAATCCCAATGGTAATGGTAATCCATTAGGTTCGATTGGAATAAGTTCATTGACTCCTTCTAGAGATGAAACTAAGGTTTCTAAAGCTAATCGATTTGGATTTAATGATCTTGTGTATTCGAATCCTTTATGAACTCCAATTGAATCTTGTTGATAAGTGGTTGATAATGAGATGGATGGGATCACTGCTCCTGTACTTTGATCTGGTGATGAAGCAGTATGAATTAATTGAGTACCAATATGATACTGTGATGGATTTGAAGTGGTGATGATGTTTTCTGAACCGATGTGATTGTTGGTCATTTTTGGATAGTTTTGAGTTTTTTAAAAAGTTATGATTTGTTTTGTTTTGTTTTGTTTTGTTTTAGGGAACTACTAAAACCAGCCCGCTTTAAAACCTGCAACCGCCCGCTTTTGTTGACTATCACATGTCTGTTCACAGCTTTTGACACCTCAGAGAGCCGGACTTCTCATCAACTCTCACTCGAGACTTCTATGAAATAAAGCTGACATAAAGCGGGCGGTCAAGTAAACTTATTGAAATCACATACACTATTCCTCAAGGAATTTTACAAGTGAGAGGCAAACTTACAAGTTATAAGTTCCTCCCTCTTGCTCACAAGAAGGAGGAGTGAGCAAAACTATCTGCCTTTCAACCTAACCAGCATGCCTGAATCTTCCCACAGACACCAACACAATCCAGCTTCTGAAAGTCCGTACAATAACCCCGATAGTAATGCACCTCCATTTTATCAGTACCCCGCAAATTTTGGCTTTCACCCAGTTACATTGGCAAATCACCAAGTAGCCTATCAGGGAAATGTGATTTCTCCCAATCACACCGTCTACCCACCACTTGTTGGGACTTATCCAGCAAATCTTTGGCCCCATCAAGGCCCCCCTCCCTTGTCACCTTGCGCATCCATCCCTTTCAGCATTAATCAAGGACCAGTTGAAGTTCATCCTCCCATGACTAGCTACGCACCCAACCTTCCTGTTCAACAACATCCGTACCCTATGTTCACCTATCCACACACTCAAATGAATGTAGCAGCTTCTGAGTTCTTGCCTCAAAACTATCTTCCTCCTCAACCAGTGGCCAACCATGTTACTCACAACAATGCGATGACCTTACCACAACATCTCTACTGCAGCCCTTCTCAGCATATGTACACCTATCCGCACACTCCAATGAACAGATCAGCTCACGAATTCTTACCTCGAAATCCTCCTCCTCCAGAAGTCATCCGCCATGTTACTCATGATCTCAACAATGACAGCCAAAACGACCATGATCAACATCATCAAGTAACCCATGCAGATCCCGATGGGGACTGGGAATTAGAGGAAGATGAGATTCCAGAAACCGAGATGACAAGCACTGTAAATGAGTCTGGACAAAAAGACAAGAATGTCGAAGACGATGAGAATGACAGTGATGATAGCTTGGATGAAACCTTGAATGCTGATGAAAAGTTTACAAGAGATCCTGATTTTCCTATTGAAGGTCAGTCCAATCTAATAATAATATCTCTGTGGTTCAACACTCAGCTCATCACATGTATTGTAGGTGCTGCTCCAGCTCGCTTGCTTCAAAACCCGATTGTTGGAAAGCAATTCCATTCAATGCATCATGGATTGATGTACCTTCGAGCAGTGGCACGACACCAGGGCTATTCACTTGCAGTAACTAGTCAC